TGGCCTGTACACATAGGCATACACACATGTATTATGCAGATGTGTTGGTATGTGTGCATGAATGCTTTTGCACACACACACACACACACACACACACACACACACACACCACTAATTGCAGCAGCAAACTTTAGATGTGAGAAGTGAGATGCCATGAACACCTCGAAAACACCCATGTAATGATTAAGCTTGGTTTTGTCAGGTGTCATTGCCAACCTGACACAAGATAGAGTCATCTGATAAGAGGGAACCTCAGTTGAGAAAATGCCTTCATCAGGCTGACCTATAGGCAAATCTGTTGGGTATTTTTAAAAATTAATTATTGGTGCAAGAGGGCCAAGCCCACTGTGAGTGGTGTGAGTCCTGGGCAGGGGTCCTAGAAGCTTTAAGAAAGGAAGCTGAATATGAGACCTGTAGCAAGCACTCCCATGTTCCTCCACAGTTCCTGCCTTCCCTCAGTGAAGGACTGTTACCTCAAAATGTAAGGTGAAATAAACCCTTTCCTTCCCGGGATGCTTTTGGTGAGTGTTTTATCACAGCCATAAAACTCAAACTAAGAAAATTCAACTCTCCAAAATTCAGTAACTAACATATAAGATGTTTGGTTTCCTTAGAGGAAAATTATTTGGGCCACAATAACCTCTATCCAGATAAGGCAGATGGGACTGTCTTCCTCAGAAACTAGATGGAAGTCTCAGAGTGGGCACACAGGAGTAGGAAGTTTTCACTACTGTCATAGTGTCAGGCTTGGCCTGGGATCATTGTCTCAAGCACCTGGGACTCATGCTATTCAAGAGTATTTGCAGTCCATTACAAGCAGAGAGTCCACATGGCGGCTGGGGAAGTGGCTCAGTGCTTACGAGTGGGTGCTACTCAAGCAGGAGAACCTAAAAGTGGATTCCAGAATGCATATAAAATATCAGTTGTGGGGATGTGGCCATGTGCACGCCTGTAGCCCCATCATTATGGTGGTGGAAGTGCGAACACCAGAGCTTTCTGGCTTCCAGCCTAACTCTGAGAAAGTGAAAGACCCTGGCTCAAAGGAATAAGGCGGAGAGTGATAGAGCAGGACACTTAGCATCCTCCTCTGGCCTCTGTGCCATACGTAACCCATTCACACATACATGGGCACAGGCACACACACACACACACACACACACACACACACACACACACACTCGCACCAATACACACATATGCACACACATATAAAACTCACACATACAAATAAATTGAAGTGTGCATGCTTATTGGACAGAGACGTACACAAAAGGAAGTAAGAGGGAGTCTGGGGGGGAGTTCCGAGTGGGACTGTCAAGGATGCATTGTATCCATTGTTTTGATTTCTCTCTGACCAAACTCAGATCAAGGTGTCAAATTTTACCTGTGTACCATTTTCTTAACGAAACAAATCACTTGATTGACTTGATTAATTATCTTCCAGGAGCTAGATAGAGAAGAACTGTCTAAATGAAATGGGGACGGCGGGGTGGATGGTGCATTAGGTGTGTATATTTGAGAACCTGTGGGCTGCCTACTGTACACAAACTTCATGGCATCTATGAGAGAAAGAAGGAAGTGTAAATTAGACTTGTATTTGAAGGATCAGGCACCTGTGTAAAAGTATGGTTAAGAAATGAAACAACCCAAAGCCCCATTACTTCTGATAGAGAAGTAAGACAAAGTATATGTACAAGCTAAAATGCCATTCCACTATAAAAAGGAACAAAGCACTAATGCAAGTATGGATGACCCTCAAAAACAGTATGCTAAATGAAGGGAGCTAGTCACAACCAATCACATGTTGTATGACTCCACCTGTACAAAATGCTCAGAATAGTATGACCATAAAAGCAGAAATTAGAGTAGTGATTAACTAAGGCTGGGGACAAGGAATGACCACCAATGGGTCTTCTGAGGTCATAGGAATGTTCTAAAGTCAGATTTGGGTGGTATTTGTGTGATTACGTAAATTTATTGAATGAGCTGACTTGTAATCAAACAGGTAACTGTTTTTTAGAGTGATTGTATACTAATAAAGCTGTGTTTTTAATTGGTTGGAGATTCTGAAATATTTTTTCCAAGACTACAGATATAAGCAAAGCAGTCTTTAGAGAGGGTTGGGGGAAAATCTGGAATAATGGATGCTTCTGTTCTATTTCATAACTGAATGTCCTTCAACTTTATTTTCCATGTGAAGACATCGGATAAGGCAGAGGGTTCTCAATGACACTGAGGACTTTACTGACCAAGGAAGAGCTTGAGAAGGAAAGGATGGAGCAGAGAGAGGAGGACAGTGTATGAAAACTCTCGAGTAGTTGAAAAGGCATGTGTTACTCTAGCAACTGGCGAGGTAGACTCATGGCTGGAGACTATCACAAGGTAAACTGAGTCAAAATGAAAGCAGAACATACCTCTTTTCAGAAATCCCAAGCAAGAAGAGGAAGCCTATTTGCATTTAAAGACTTAGCAAAGAAAGAAAAGTATTATTATCTAAAGGAAATAGTGGAAAAGGGAAAGGATAGACACACACACACACACACACACACACACACACACACACACACACACACACACTCCTGATGCTTTGGACACTGCAACTGCAGAGATGATGCTGAGGGATTCCTGTATCTCCATCATGCCAGACACTTTTTCTGGGTCTTCCTCCAGGGACCAGCTTGATAAGGAATGATGAGGATGAGGATTGTGGATTATCACAGGTTAAATACAATAGAATTTCTGGGGTGTTCTTATAGGACAAAAAGGTGTTCATGGGCAGGTACACTTGTAAATTCTAGGAACTGTGGGTCATGTCACATGAGGAATCTGCGGGAAGATTTTACCCCTTCCTAGGGTGTTCTGTGTTGGCCTCTCTTTGTTTTTGCTGCTACTGCTGAAGTTTCTGTTTCATTTTTTATCAGTTTACAAAGTAATAGGTTTCCTCACAGCATTTTCATACACACTTAGTGTTTATCTACCTTCCCCTTGTCTCCTCCTCTTCCCTGTCTCTCTACCCCAACACCCCCTTCTACCTTCCACATCCAGTATCCTCTTTTTAATTTCATATCACAAATGCCCTATTACACTCCTACCCCTCTGCCTTAAAGCCCCTTTCTAAATACTTTCCTGGCATCTACATATACTCACTGCGTGTGTGTGTGTGTGTGCGCGTGTGTGTGTGTGTGTATTATATATTATATATAATACACACGTATAATATATACATACATGCATAATTCATAAATATAAAGTTTTATATATAAATTTTCTTTGGCATTGAAGAGAAGGAGTTTAGATACTAAGGGGTGTGGTTTGGGTGCTTTGGTATTTTAAGTGATGCATTAGGTCATATAATCAGTTTTCCTTCTTTTCATGTCCTTTCTCATAATGCATCTGATTTTGATCATACTCACGCCCAATCATGCATAGGCATAAGACGGTAAATTGAGGACACAGTTTGCTTTACTCTGTATGCACCTAAAATAAATTCCGACTGGGCTGTCCTTTCCATTCATCCTACCCAGATGCTTCGGAACCATATTCCAATGGCAACTGAGTTTAATAAAAGTGGGGGGAGAAGAAATACATCCTACTTCTCAGACAGGAGTGAGACTAAGGTGGCTAGCTGTGTTGTTTATAGAGGGGGTGTGCATAGTGCATGCAGGTGAAGGAGCTGGGTGCAGAGCATTGTCAGAAGGAAGAATAATGCAAAACCAAACAGTCCCGGGCAGCTAAGCTACTCTCCTGGCTTCCCTGCCTCCTCATTACTACACATCATCACCTATTCATCTGCTGATGGACGTCCAGTTTGTTTCCATTTCCTATGTATTGTGAATACAGCTGCAATGGATGTGGATGAGCCTGTAGTTCCATAGCAGGAATTAGATCCTTAGGGTATAAGCTCAGGAGTGTCATAGATAGGGCCCATGCTAGCTGTGATTGTAGCTTTTCAGCTTCTATGAAAAACATCTGGTCTTTGAATCTCTTTACTTTCCCTCTTCCTTCCTTACAGCAGAGTGCCCTGTGAGTGTCTGGTCCCAGCATTTATCCTGAAGGCTCGCAGCATTGTGCCCTGAGGATGTGATGGATTTAGTCCCCAGCTGAGTGACCTCAGGATGCCTTTCTGCTTTCCATTAATTTATCGGGGCCAGGGTTCACTTTCAGGCATTGCATTTAACAAATTGTTAAGCTCTTTAGGAGAGGGGTCATATGACCTCTAAAGACTTCTAAAACACAGCCCCTCATTCACAGTGCCCCTGCTAACATCAGGAGCATCTGGCACCAAGACCGACTGGAAAAGCAAGCATTTTCCCTCTTTTATCCCCGGCACTCTCCTTCCTGCTAGGGCTCTCTGCCTTCCCCAGAATCTGTCTATAGTCATGAGATGCTTCTGTATTGATAGTGGATAAGTTGCAGCTAGAAATACAAGTCTGTGACAACATGACCACTGAAACCCTGTCAAGTAACCCCTAATTTTGAAGCTAGTGGTTAATTCCCAGCAAATTGATTTATGCACTGTTTGAGTTTTGGCGAATTGTGTTGTTCGTCTGTTATTACCAGGAACTAGGCTCTGCCTAATCACTCAGACCATTGACACAACCCAGTGCATTTCCCCAGAAAACCTCCTTTGTCAGCACATCTAGGATCTGCTAATTAAATCAACGATGACATTATTCACTTTCTCAAGAAAAAAAGTCCCTGTGCCCCGCCATCACGGTTTCCTTTTCCCTCTTGCTCTTCTGTCTCTTGGATTGTCTCTGACTCTCGCTTTCATGAGCAGTGAGAATATCCAAGTTCAGCTAGTCTCTGCTGGTCCCCATGTTGTCTAATGACAGCAGCAAACTCCTACCCTCCCGCTCAGTAAGGAGTAAACATGAACCAGTGTACACAGGCATGCTGGGACATGTGAAAAGAAGCTTGTCCTGAATGTCTTTGAGTCTGGGCTTTCTTCATTCTGTGCTGGAAGTGTGAGTTTCATTAAAACGACACAGTTGCCCACACCATATCCATTGTCTTTTATTCCTGCTGAAATAGTCTGAGTCCCCAGGGATCAATAATTATGAGTCCATGTGATGCTTCCATGTGGACTCCACATCTTCAGAATCACAAAAAGGTCGAGATGAGTCCTGCTGCACGTGTGGGAGCCTTGGGACCATGCATTTTCTTAAATTGGACTCTCCATCTTGAATTCGCAGAAATTACAAAGTGAAACTGGGGCAAAGGCAATGTGGACAATGTATAGTTGTTTGAATCACAGTCCTGTATGTAAGAGAGAAAAATGAGAATTAAAACAAGAAGTGGAATAATTCTGAAAATAGAATTATTTATATAGTCGTTTTTTTAACAATAGCCTTAAAATTATTAATTCTTATCAAGAAACAGGGTGTTTAAAATATTCTTAATTGACTGCAAAACCCATAGTCAATTACTGTGAGATGCCCAAGGGCATGGCCCTGTGGTATTTTGAAAGGTCACTGTAGTTTATAGCCAACTCACTTGGTCCCAGATCCAGGATGTGGCTGGCTGCCCCAGGGTGGAGGATTCAGCTGTGTTCTCCATAGTTCTCAGTGCAGAAGAGAGGCTGCCTTCCTAAATGTGTCCCTTTGGGGTTAAAAAATAAGCCTTTTCTGAAGATGGCACCTGAAAAAGATAGTGTGCTTAGTGTTTATAAATAAGTGAAATACTTCTGACCCGGAATCAAGCAGAGTCTAACAGACTCAAATGTACAGAATGCCTGGACCAAAGCAAAGGAGATGCTGAAGAGCCAAGAATGGAGTAAGCTAACATCCGCAGGTGTGGGTGTGCAAGCAGAGAAATCCAGGATAGGTCTGGGGGCACAAACATAATCTTTGTGAAGCTGAGGCAGGAGGTTTGTAGGCTCAATATGTCTGGACAACATATTGAGATTCTGTAATCAATTAACTGATTAATGGTTTAGAAAGATACTATGCTTGGAATCTGGAAGTCACAGAGAGTCCAGGACAGGGTCACACACAGAGAAGACCTGCTACCTAGGCAGGAGAGGGAGCAAAACACCAGTCTTCCTCCTCTTCTTGCTCTTCCATCTTACACACACCTTGCATTGGCCAGACCTCACCAGTGACCACTGAGTAGGGCAGCCTGAGCTTATAGATAGAATTGTATCTGCACAGTCACACTCCCATTGCACATTCTTCATTGCCATTGTCACACCACAGAGACAAATCTGAGTGACTGTGAGACTATGAAACCCTGAAGCAAAAATCAAACAAACATATGTGTGCTATAGCTTTTCTAGAGCCAGCTCCAGGGTTCCTTCCCTCTGCCTCTTCTCCCTGGAAAATGACTGTCTTTAAACCACATCCCAAATTGCATCACCACAGCAGTTCCGAAGCCTGACCCAGGGAAGCTAATGCCTTCTTCACATCTTCCAGTTCCAGCATGAGGGTTGTAGACTCCATAGCATAGGGAGCCCTGTTTTTAGAACTTGCCAACTTCAGAGAGCCTGGGAGGAAGGGTTCAGTGAGAAGGAGGGAGAGGGAAAGTTGAAGCAATCTCACTAGAGGGATGTTCAGATAGGACATGTGTCCTGAACCTATCAGCCGGCTCCAAGGCAGGGCACCTGGGAAGAACTTTATAGAGATGCTCAAGGCAGAATACTGCAATCACTTAAAGGTGATCCAGTGTTAAGATAGTTGTGGAAACAGGAGTTTGGGCCCATAGGCAGGACATCCCACGAGACACAGACAACCCATCACCAGTTTTAGTTCTCCAAAATTATCCGTAAGTTACACTATACTTTTACTATGAAATCTGAGTAAAGTTCAAACACTGATGATTAATTTCATGCTACTTCGATGGAGCCAAGAGATGCTGAAATAGTTGGCAAAATGATAAGTCTGGGTGTGTCTGGGATGGTATTCCTGGAGGAGACCCACACTAGGATCAGTAGACCATGGAAAGCAGATGGTCTGTCCTACTTGGGTGGGCACCACCCAACTTGCTGAGATTCCTTGTACAACAAAAGGAGTCACGAAGTACAGTTTCATTTTACCTACTTGGCCTAGGATGTACCTCCTCTCCAGCCTTTGGATCCCACACTCCAGGTGAATGGGACCTCATATTTGGACTAAATTCATCCACTGGATTTCTTGGCTTTTTACATTGCAAGTGGTATTTTGTGGTCCTCCATAACCAATAAACTAGTCCTGCGTGTGTGTGTGTGTGTGTGTGTGTGTGTGTGTGTGTGTGTGTGTGTGTGTGTATCATACAAATGCTTCCTGACTATTTTATAGTATATCCCTATAAGCCCATCACAACTAACATAAATCAAACACACATGATACACGCAGCTTACAGCACACCATAACTTAGCAACACGGAATGCTATAGTGTATCAGTTGTTTGCTCTTGTGAAGGTAGCTTGCTACCTACCACTCATCATCATGAGACTGTACCCTACCACTAACCATCATCCTGGGTATGCTGGTTTGAATGAAAATAACTCTCATGGGTCATATGTTTGAGTACTTGGTCCCCAGTTTATATAGTTCTTTGGGATGAATAAGGAGATAGGGCCTTGTTAGAGGAGATATGTCACAGGGGGTGGGCTTGGGGTTTCAAAAGACTCATGCCCTTCCCGGTGCATTCTCTGATTCCTGCTTGTGGAGTGGGACGTGAGCACCCAGCTTCTGTGTCAGTGCCATGCCTGCCCACTTGCTACTATGCTCTCTGCCCTGACAGTGGTGAACTCATTAAATGTTTCCTTCTATAAGTCTCCTTTGGTCATATTTTTTAACATAGCAATAAGAAAGTTACTTACTAGTACATTGGAAAAAGATCAAAATTCAATGCATGGTTTCTTCTAAATGTGTTTCACTTTTGTACATTTGTGACAATGACAAATCTTAAGCCTGATCATCATGTTAAGACAGTGACAGTGTGTGTATACCCTATCAGCTCCACTTACCTGAAGAAACTGACTAGTACACAGGTTTAGTATGTGTTATCTTCCCTTTGCAAAAGTTGATCTTACATGTCAGATCCCTGACAGAAGCTGTACAAGGGAACTCTTCTTAGTAGGTGACTTAGACTGTGTAGGCACAAAGCTCAATACACTGGGACTAGGCCAATGAGATGGTGTGAATGAAAGGTGTCTTAGTTGAGTTTCGGGTACTGAGAAGAGACACCATGATCATGAAAACCTTTATAAAGGAAAACATTTAGTTGTGGTGGCTTACAGTTTCAGAGGTTCAGTCCATTATCATCATGGTGCAACATGGTGGTTGGTGTACAAGCAGACATGGTGCTGGAACATTTAGTTGTGGTGGCTTACAGTTTCAGAGGTTCAGTCCATTATCATGGTGCAACATGGTGGTTGGTGTACAAGCAGACATGGTGCTGAAGAAGGAGCTGAGAGTCCTACATCTTGACCCAAAGGCAACAGGAAGTGCTCTGAGACACTGGGCATGGCTTGAACCTATATGAGACCTCAAAGCCCACCTCCACAGTGACACACTTCCTTTAACAAGGCCATACCTACTCCAAAAAAGCCACACCTCCTAATAATGCCACCTTATGAGCTTGTGGGGGCAATTACACTCAAACTACCACAAAGGACCAAGACAGCTGATGTGATGGTAAGAAGCCCACCCAGGCTCCATGATCATGTGGAGGAGAGAAGACAGGGCTGATAGACAATTGGGCTCTCTCATTTCAAATATTCACACCAAACTCTAAACCATATTCCTGCTTGTAAGAATGATAACTGCTCTATTATTCAACTTAAGTCTTCATTTTGGAACCTGAATGAGAGTTTTTCCCCCATGCATTGCTTACTAATCAACTTTATTTTTTACAGCTTGTCATTTTGTTTAATGTTGCGAAACACTGCAATTTTTTAAAGTAGGATCTGATTTTGCAAATAGATGTCTAAACTTAAGTAAAATAATGGATGTAACAAATGCCACCCAATGTGACAGCTTTGCTCTGCCAATGCAATTTGCTGGTTCTGAAGAATAAATGTAGAACAGACTGCCATTCTGAGAACAGCCCTGCACGTGACAGACAGGGATCTGGGTATGTGCGCACACTGCTGTGTTGGGTAGCAGACTTTTGCACTCACTCCTGCTTCTTATTCCCTTGGTGTAGTCAGTTCTTCAGTTGTTGAGCTGATCCTAGAGCCTCCTCGGTGCCATTGAGTTTGCTCCCACATTCTGTTATCTGGGATAGTTTTTGGCAATGATATTTCAGGAAGCTGAGTGTTGCCTGGAGTAATTTTCACAGATACCACATCATTCTTTAAAAGACAGATGACATCATTTGACCTTCAGGACCAAAAGGGGCTCCACCAGGCCAGAGAGGGCTCATCAGCCATGCCTCTTGACAGGCAGTATAGAAAATCCAGGGAAGAATAATGATAAGCAACAACAATAATAATGGAATCAACTGATGCTTTTGCCATCAGAGTCTTGGTATCCTGATGGTTTTGCCATCAGAATCATGGTATCCAATCCTTAGAAAGAAAACCTAAGACACATATTTATTTAGCCAGGTTGGGGCGGTAGCAGATGTTGTTTTCTACTATACTAATGAAAAAATAGAAGTAGTAATGACAGACTCCCTAAAGTATTGGCTATAGAGCACTTGGAGGAATAAGTTTGCCAAAATCTGGCCTGGTTGACATGAATAAATATATGAATATGAATGGGTGACACTGTGTCCCTTGACAGTCACTTTCTTTCCCACCCCGAAAAAAAGAGAGAGAGAGAGAGAGAGAGAGAGAGAGAGAGAGAGAGAGAAAGGTGTGGCTCTTTGTCACAGATAGGACAGAAGTCTTCTTCTCCATAGAAGCTCCTCAGGGGACAGCATGTGATGGGCACGTCCCACACGAGGATCATGTCTGCTATGAGAAACCTAGCTAACTATTCATGGCTAGTGAAGTCGTGGATCTTGGAGGGAAACCCAAACCCACCACTTTACTAAACCAGTATAATCCCTAACTATATTCTAAATCTATGCCCGTATAATACTCACAGCTATGTGTAGTCCTCACCACTCATGGAGAAATTGTCTCTTTGCACTACATAAGAATATAACCAATCAAAATGCAGAGTTGTGGAGGGCATTCCCAATGGATCTACATCTACAAAACAATCATCACTCAGGGCTCAGGAAATGTTGTAGAAGAGGGAGGGAGGGAGGGAGGGAGAAGGAAAGAAAGAGAAATTGCCAGAGGTTCCAGGAGTTTTCTGTGAGGTTGTGGTTCCTAGTAACATCAGAAGCCACACCCATAAAGTCTCACACAGATGACTGCCTAAACATAATCTGTACAATGACAACAGCAATAGACACTCTAACATGGACAGGGGAAAGCCCCAAACGCCTTCCCCTTACACAAAGAACTACAGTCAACTAAGGAATGACAGAAGTAGAAGTGGTCTTCACCAGGGAAGAGCACACTAATTGTTTAGCCAATCCCAATGGTCGGCTTTAAAAACATACATACAGGTAACATTACACAGACTAAGGAGGTTATGTTTGGGTTATATATAAATATACATATTCATGTAACAACAATTAATGAAAAAGGAGGCCATGGATGATTTGGAGGAATGAAAGGGAGGGGTAAATTATATAATTATATCATGTTCAATAGCTATCACCCACTGGTGTAACGAAATGAGGAGCTCGCAAGTTTAAAATGTTTCCTAACATGCATTTTGCTCGATAGAAGTCAGGAAAGTCCAAAAGCAGCAATCAGAAATCCAACTTCAAGAAATGTAAACAATTCAAAAGGGAGAGCGTTGCTGGAGCTAGAGTGTGGGTGTGGTTAGTGTGGTAGAGTACTTAGACTCCATTCCTAACATAAAAACAAATACGTAGGAGCAGTGATATGGCCCAGTGGGTAAGGGTGCTTGCCACTAAGTCTGAGGACCTGAGTTCAATCCCCAGAACCTACATGGTAGAATGAGATAACCAACTCCCCCAAGTTGTTCTCTGGCTTCCAAAAGCATGCCACAACATATATTCATCCCCTCACACACAATAATATTTTTTTAAAAAATTTAAACAAATAAATAAAAAAGTTGAATAGTGGCAGTATCTTAGAAAATCAAGTGTTTGTTTCTCTTTATCTACACAAGCATATGGGTCTTGTAATCTTGTCTGCTTTGACACATGGGGCAAGAATGGTTCTTCCATTTCCATGAGGACATATCAAGTGCTTGACATACTCATGATTTATCCCTTGAGAAGCAACCTGAGAAAGCGGCATCACTCTGCCTACCATACAGATAGGGAAACTGAGGCTGAAATAGGCTAAGTAACTTGTTTAAGGTCACTTGGGAAGTTAATGGCCGAACCCAATTTGGGCTGTGTGAGCCTCCATAATAGGTCCTTAATCCTTATGTTAAAGTGACTATTGCAGAGGTTAGTCAAGTGAGAATGGAAAAGAATTGGGTGGCTTGTAAGAGGAATACATGGGATAGGGGTGTCATAGGTTAATTTTATTGAAGAGAAATCACTTACAAGAGAAACCGATAACCCAGAGTCAGCGCTCCGGGCATCCAGTCTCAGCTCTTCTCTGAGAACAGACCAGACCAGAACCCCAAGAGAGACCTATGCCTCCTCTCCCCAAGCCTATATCCCACAAACCCCCACAGGTACCCATTAAGATCTCTGCCTACAGTGGCTCATACTCGAATCCACGAAGCAAACCACATTCTGAACCCAACTAAACAGGATGTCTTGCATGACAATCTAGAGTGGAGAGTCTCAGCGAGCTAGGGGTGTCTTTACTCAGAGAGCTTGTTGGAAATGGGAATGGACTATGAGAAGCCGACTGTAGAACAGAAAGGGGAGGCAGTGAGACATTTGGATCTCAGGCCTCCACGAGGCACAGAGACAGCCATGGCAGCAAAGACACCCATGCAGAAGCCTAGGGGAACTGTCACAGCAGCAGAGAAGAGGACTTCTGGGGTCAGGGGGAAGCAAGGTCAGAGAAGAGTGAAGTGGGCTGAGGAAAGATAATGCAAAGCTATTGTGGGCTTCAGAGCAGGGGAGTAGCTTGATGAAAATAGCATTCTTAGGAGATTATCCTGCCAGCTATGTATAGGACAAACTGGGGCAGGCAGAAGTGGGAGGCAGGGAGTCCTGCTTTGCAGTGGCTGCAGCCATCCAGTCACCATGCAGTGAGTGGGAGTGTAGGAGGGATGAGCCAAGGAGAAAGGACATACCAAAGAGGCGACATGGGAAAGGACTCTGACTGCCAGATTCCTGGAGACTCAGACAACAGCTTCAAAGAATCGCCAAGAAACTTCCATGGCTTCATTTCCCAAGAAGATGCTGACTGAACAAGGGTGACCTTGTGAACTCAGAGCTAACCTTGACTTCACTTTCCCTCCTGTGGAGGTTGAGTTTGTGAACTGCTTTTGACTCTGTGTCTGCCCCGAAAATCGCCAATGTGGAGTGCTGATGGCTCCACCAGCCATCTCGCCATCTCATCTTTGGGGCTACAAATACCCTGTGATTGTAATTCTCTATGCTGTATTTCAGCATCTGGAGGGATGGCCCATCAGTCTCTAGTTTAGTGAATGGGCACATGATAGAGAGTGATGTCACTGGTTTCATAAGAAATTGTTACATGAAGAACTGGTGTTTGGCTCCCTTGACCAGTGTTGGACTAGGACATGCAACATTACTAGGAGAGACATTCTAAGGCGATGAGGCACCAAGTAATAATAAAATAATAATAATAACAACAATAATAAAATAATAATAATAATAACAATAATAATAAAATAATAATAATAATAATAATGCCTCATTTCCCTCTTCTGCTGAAACTGTTGGGTTTTGATGCACTGGGATTTTTGTTTTGTGTTGGGGGTGTTGCTTAAGAAGTTTTAAGACACAATCTTACTATACTGCTCAGTCTCCCCAGTGCTATGATTGCAGGCATGTTTCACCATGTCAGGCAGTGGACTAGACTAACTGACAGGGACCAAAATCTTTGTATGAGGATAGGGCTAAGGAAAGGTGGGGGCAGGAAACCTAAGAAGAAAATGAATAGAAGGACTAAATGGCCAGTTTTTCAGGACACAGTCTTCTCTCTAGAACAGATCTCCAGCTGAGAGGAACTTCAAGCACTCTTCTAGGTCTCTGTGGTTTCATCTGAATGAAGTGAAATTAACCTTTAGCATGATTCACCCAGTGACACGATCCTAGAGACAGGAGCAGGTGGCAAGAAAAAGGCAATGTTCTGACCCTCCGTGCAAGTAATGACCACATTTACACACTGAAATGCAGACAGGCTTCCATTGGCATCAGATTCCTTTTACGCAGAAGACCCAGGCAGACAGTGTTTCTGGCCAACCATGTCTATGTGAGACAAAGGAAGTTTCTCTGTCATTTCCAGTGTCTCATCTCACAGACTGGGAAGACTCATTTTCTGAGGCAGGCTTTCTTCCTGATTGCCAAGAGCTCTAAAATCTTTGCCACATTTGTCTCAGAGAAGGCAAAGTTCCCACTATGTACTGCAGGTCACCAAGCAAAACCAGAACATGCCTTACAGGCAACTAGAGCCAAGCCATGTCACCTGGGCTCTAGGAAGCCATGGGTTGCTATAGTTCTTGGAAGCAGGAATGCAGACAGAAGGAGGGATAGAGAAGGCACTGGCACCATTAGGCAGCATCAGGGACATACCTCAGTGCAGAATTGATTTTCAGAAGTGTGATCACTTGGCTAGATAAGGAATGAGGGACTCGGTTGCTCCTCTCAAGTACCCATGGCCAAGATGAAGAGGAAGTGGTCTGCTTTCAGAGGTCAGGGCTACAACTCCAGGAAGCAGACTACAGTAAAGAAAGGATGTCTCAATAATTGGGTTGTCTCAAAATGGTACACTGTTTTGGGACAGTGAGTTCCCAGTTGCCAGACATTCAGGCACAAAGTGAATAAGTAGCATCTGAAGAACAAGTGTCTCAGGCACCCGGGGAGGACTCGATACTCAGGCCTCTCCCATAACAGGGTACTCAACCCCCCTTGGGGGGTTCTGAATAGAATGATCATTGAGTTAGTTCACTGGGGCTGCCATACACCACACTAAGTGGTGAAAGCACTTCACAATTTGAAGACTAGAAGTCTAAGACCACTTGTCATTCTGTGGCATATAGAGGCAACACCTGGGCCTTCTCTTTCACCCTCCCACGCTGCTCTCCCTGTGTGTCTGTCCAGAGTTCCTCTCTTAGAACACAGCAGTCGTTTTTGTATTAGAACTTTTCCTCAAGGCCTCATTTCAATGTGTATTTGTCATTAAACACATTACTTACAAATAACTTCATGTTCTTAGGTACTAGGGGGTTAAGATTTCAACATGCGTAGTTTGGGAAGACACAGCTCAACCAATAACAAAAGACTTTTTGATAAGGATTTGGTCATGACTTGTTGACCTGATGTGAATTTCTGTGTTAAGAACCCCCGGAAAGCTAAAATTCAGTCAGCCCCAAGGCCGCAGAAGAATCCAGTTAAAGTTTTTATCAGACACGCCATTACACCCTGAGCACATCACTCAAGTTCCCAGAATGTGGAATTGTCTTGTAATTCCTTCCTTGCAACATGGGCAGGAACACACAAGCTCACTGCCACCACAAAGGCTTCCTGAACACTCCACGGGTGCTAACAGCAAACCTTGCTAGGCGGTGTCCTCAGGGTCACTGTTGTGTCACTTACTGCTTCTGTATGCTTCGTTCCTCACTCCACAAGGGTGTTTCAGTGGGGTATCTAGGGCATGAGGTTCTCAGTGACTTCTTCATGTCCTCATGTGGCCACCAACCAGCCAAGATACCTTGACAGGGATGGGTTCTTCTTGTTTCAATTAAAATCCCCAAAGCCAGCTAGCTCATTCAGGGTTTTTATTTGAATCAGTTCTGGCATTGAAAGTGTATTTCCAAATGCTATGTCCATCTCCCCCACGTGCATCTGTGAAGGCAAACTTACCTGGTAATAAGGTCTTTGCTGATATAATACATTAAGATGAGGTCACTTTGAATTAATGTGTGCTATAATCCAGCAACACTGGTGCTCCTATAAGAAGAGAAAAGACCTAGATAAACACAGCACATGTAACAACAATAGAGGCAAAGACGAGAGTGGTGTATGACAGGCCCAGAGTGAATCAGGGGCTCACTCCCCTGAATACCTTGATCAGGGAGTCTGTGAAGCAAATCTTTATTGTTTTTATGCCCCAATTTGTGGTCTTTGTTATAGTACACAGATACTAACACGCTGAGGAATTCTTGTTAACACTCTATCCTCAGGAGTTATTACAACTGTAGTCATAATAATAAAATAGTAAGTGAAGCTTTCCTCCATATCCTGTGTCTCTGCAAGCCTGCAGCAACTCCCAGGAAGTAAATTCAGAACAGGAAATGAAGGGTCCAGTGGGTTAAAACGACTTGGGGAAGGTCAGACCACTGAGCTGGAGGGCTGTGAATCAGCTGAAGGCTCGGCAGCCCCAAGAGCCCCTGCTGCCCAGAATATTTACCTTGTGCTGAGAAACTCATCCTTCCCAGATATCAAGCATTTATCCCAAGGTTATGGACAGAGGGAGCATGGAGCCTTTGCCAAATTTCTCAGTGCTTTCTGTTTGGGGAATCATTTGCAAAATTGTCATTTGGAATTTGTCTTTGATTTCACCCAGAAATATTGACACATATGCTGTTATGACAAGGCAAAAAAACAGTCATCATGCGTAGTTTCTCATGAATCCAGAAATTAAATTTAACTGTATTTGGCTGTAATTCATCCAAAATTTAAAATAAATATGAAAAACATTGCTTTTTTTCCAAAGCAAGTCATTTCAATACAAGTGTAATTTGGATATTTAAATATGTCATAATGACAACTATAGCCATACTTTGTGGGCTTTTGTAGAAGAGATGTGCACACACAGTATACACTTCAGTGAGGCAAAAATTAATAAACATTTATCAAGCAGAAAAGGGGAACATACACTCTTTTCTTACACTAGTGGGAATAAGTTTTTATTTTATCTATCCTTACTGCATGTGTGTGCATGTGTGTGCATGATATGTGAGTGTGGTGTGCACACAGCATGATGCACATGTAGAGGTCAGAGGGCAACTTTCAAGAGTCGGCCTCTCCCATGTTTATGAGGGTTCAGAAGATGGAACTCAGGCCACCAGGCGTGGGGCGTGGTGCTTTTACTTACAGAACCATCCCACTGAGGTCTGACTGAAATACATAAATTCACATTTCACACTGCATCATTTTTTTCTTTCCTCTTCCTTTTTTTCCTTTGTACTCTGGGAAAGCTTTGTCACATGTCAATCAAGATTTCTTAAGCTTGGCCATGTGTTAATCAGTATCTCTCAACTCGACACTGTTGACATTTAGGGATAGAACCTTCTGTGCTGCCCTGTGCATCCCCCAGCAGCACTGGGGACATTTTATGCCTGGATGCTGGTAGTCAATCCCACTCACCCCACAAAACACATCCCTGGATAGGGCCAATGCTTCTTTGGAAATTTTGCAAAAATGCTGTAATAGAGGGCACCACATGTCTAAGGTTTTCCTGTTGCTAAGTTGAAAGGCTGGACGCTGAGCTTGTACTCAAGCCACACCGAAACAATTCTGTAAGCAAACAGGAAGAAGGAACACATAATAAATTACCTAGCACATTGCACATCTCTCCCACCCCAGGATGCACTCATCTCGGGGCTAGTTCCTAGAGGCAACACATGTACCTTTATCCTATATCCTTCCCCAGGACCACAACATCTCTGTTAGCACTGCTCCTTTCTTTTGTTCTTCAAGGCGTCTGTCCCAGGTTAGCCTGCACTAAATGAAAGGAACAGGCATCCTCTTCCAAGGGCATTGTGTCAGTCAAAGTGTCCCGTTGAGTGGAGACAAAATGATCTCAGCCAAAGAAGAATCAATCCCTAACATAGTTTGTGGCTCAGCTTTGCATTACTTTAGTCATTGCACAAAGAAATTTTTATTGTCCAAGAAAACACACAAGGCAAATTTTGCCACCAAGATCTGACCACCCTCAAGCCCTCTCTGTGTATGCCAAGGCGTTCTGTAATAAGGACATCACCCTGTCTTACAGTCTTGCATACACCTGAGACATAGTAGGCACTGTGCCTATTCAATCAGCCCTCTGAATCCATAGGTTCTACATCTATTTGCTTGACAAACTGCAAATAAAAATGGTGAAAAAAAAGAGGTGGGGTATAGCTCAGTTGGTGTAGTGCTTGGCTAGAATTTGTGAGTCTCTGGGGTCAGTCCTCAATACTACAAACTAGACTTAGCAGTACATGGCTGTAATCCTAGCTTTTAGAAGGTAGAAACAGGATGATTTAAAGTCCAAGGACATCCATGGCACACAATTAGTTCAACGCCAGCCTGGGTTATAGGAGACTGTATCTCTTAAAAAAAAAGAAAAGAAAAAGGAAAATAAACATGTTTATACCTCTTTTCTTGCCATTATTCTCAAAATAATGCAATATAACTAATCATAAGGCATTTAGAATGCAATAGATATTATAAATAACCTAAGGATGTCTTAAAGTGTGCAGAAAAAAAGCCACATCAAAATATGGGGGACTTGAACATCACAGATCTTGGTATCCTCAGAGGTTCTGGAACCGGTTCCCCAAGGATACAGAAGGATGGCTGTGTATCTGTGGAGTAAATGAGTAATCTTGGGCAGAGAAGATAAAGGAGCAGCGTTTAGAATGATGGTAGCCACGGTGCTTGGGCTTTTGTTTTTCTTAATTGTTTTGTTTTTGTTGTTATTTGGACTTTTTAATGTCTGTACTTTATTAATGCATGTATGTGTTTGTGGGGGAGTTTACATGTGTCTGTATTCGAATGTGAATGCCAAAGGACAACCCCTGGGTTGCCTCCCTCAGGAATGACATCCACCTCCTTTGAAACAGGTTCTATCATTGGGTTGGAACTCATCAATTAGGCTGGACTTGTCGGCCAGTGAGCTGCAGGCAACCAACTGTCTCTACCTGCTCAGCACCTATACTACAAGCACACAGCATCACACCTGACCTTTTCATATGGGTTCTGGGTCCTCAGGCTTGCAAGGCAAGCACTTTACCAACTGAGCTATCCCACAAGCCTCTTTGTAGTGCTGTTTGACTGTGACCTAGCCTGACAGGAAATGGTGGCCATGGTCAATATAGGTAGCATTTGGTTGAGGGCAGTTCTTAGATTGTGCCGAGGAAATGGATGGGCACAATGGTGAGGAGACACACGTCCTATCCCAACAAGCACAGCCAGAAAATCTCAGAGGAGAGCTATTTTCAATTACCAAGATGTACCAAACACCAGAGGAGTCACACTTGGTCTGGATGGGACTGAGGACATGAGAGGAAGCTGTTCTTAGACTCTGAGTGTGTCACCTTGCTAATGACCTCATGGGGCTGTTCAAAGGCTGCTGTAATCTTTGAAATTGCAGAGGTGGTGGCAACTTCCTATGGGGTGAGCAAGTAAGTTCCCCAGTGTTCAGATGACTAAATGTTGAAGTTCTCGCATGCTGCTCGTTGAACACACATAGTGCCAAATGAGGCTGGCTACTGGCCGCTTTGGTTAAGCTGGGAGTGCTTGAATTCAAGGCAGAACATATTGCCTCTTGAAGTGTGGTGCTGAAAGCCATTTCATCACACTGGTGCAGCTCTGAATTCACTGTTTAGAAGCTGTTTTGAGACTGCCTTCCAGAAGAGACCCTGGTTTATGTGTACCTCTGAGTTTTCTTATCTTAATGGGATTTGAACCATTATTCATCCCCAACCACGCTTATTTACTTTTTTTTTTTACTTGATTTCATATCTCAGATGCTGGGAGGTATCTTTTCACTACCGCAGTGCCTTCTTGGAATCAAAGTTTGTTGCAGTGGCAATCTTTCTGGTTCTTGATTCTTGCTGTAAATCCCAAAGTACTCATTAAGACAGAGTCCCTTACAGCGCAAGTGCTGCCCTGTCAACAGCTCAGCTGCCAGGATTGCTAACTGACAGCAGTTACTCTGCCTGAGGAGTGGGATGGGGTGGGGGGGGTAGAGTGGAACTAAAGACCAATTAGGCTACAGTGAAATCCAAGAGGACACAATGATCACAAGGAGAGAGCTTTGGAGGCCGTTCTTTATGTCTTAGTCTTCTCAAGGAGCTGTGGATACTGTGGACTCCCGGGCTCTGGCGACAGCACACCTGTGCTGTATTCTGCTCTGGGCTTATTTATATGCCCTTGCCTCTTCATTTCAAAGGTGCCCGAGTGGTTTCCCATGGCCTTGGGTGTCTGCATGTGTTAGAATCCACGGGGCACTTATGTCCTGTTGGATGATTTCTATAGTGATTGCTCTTCTGCTGGGCAAATGCCCTTTTATAGGGCAAAGCGAATTCTCTTCTAGAGCAACTGGGGGGTGGGGGTACAACACGGAAAATTCCAGTGTATGTTAAAAACAAGAAGCTGTTCCTGAATAAGTCGCATGCTGCTATTTGAATTTTTGCCCTGGGGAAAAGTTGAAGAAATCAGAAAACACAGTTCATTATTATGCAAACTTTGCTTTAAAAAAATGACTAAGTCGCAGAGGATTGGGGCAGGAATTTGGACTGTATGTAAGTGAGACAGATTATAGAGAAGGATGTTGATTTATAAATGGCAACAACCAATTCCTTATAGTCTTCACGATGGTTGTGTCTCCTGCACAATAATTCCCAGTGTTCCCTTCTGAAAGCCCTTGGTACTCAGTTAGCCCCGAGGTGTAATGTTTGATAATGTAACTGCTGCTTCTGTCACCACATTTTGTACAAACGCATTATATGTGGCCCGGAATCATAGAGATTTATGTATGGGTATGGAAAATAAGAATCAGCATTGATTAAAAGCCCCAGATAGACCATCCAATACCGCCCAAAGAACATCAGTTATTTTGCATTTTGACGTGGCGATTGATAACTCATAAATGCAAGCAGGAATGACAAATGCGGATGGAAACTGCCTTTGACAAAAACGATAACAGTATCAGTCTCCAGGGGCGGTGGAGGGATGGGGCTGCCTTTGACAAAAACGATAACAGTATCAGTCTCCAGGGGCGGTGGAGGTATAAGCAGGAGCTGTTTAAAATATTTAATCATTTTATGAAGGCTGCAAGATGTTGTTTGACCCTGAAGGAGCGTGAATGTCACATGGATAGAAATGGCCAAGTCTTTGAAGTGAAATAAAAAAAAAATGGTGTTATTATAGATCCTTCTTGACATCCTATCATTTTTGTATGGGATTAAAAATATGTATACAAAGCACTAGATAAAGGGCTCCTGCAGCAGATGTCTTGGTTGAAGGGAAAGGAATTTTCACTTCAGAATCCTAACACATTTTTATTTTCTTCCAAATAGGCAGAATAGACCCAGGAGTTCCTACTGAAAAAGATAACTTTGGATTTCCTTTGTTGTTCCTGCTGTCATTTAGTGTGTGTGTGTGTGTGTGTGTGTGTGTGTGTGTGTGTAGATATTCAGGTAAGGGCAGTTGTATGTATGTGTGTGCTTGAATGTAGAGGCCGACATCATTCCTTAGCAGCCGAATGGTTCTTTGAGACAGGGACTCTGGCTGGAGTGGAACTCGTGAAGTAAGCTAGGCTGACTGGCCAGCAAGCCCCAGGGATTCATTTATCTTTGCCTCACATGCATTGGAATTGCAAATGTGCACCCTCCTGGCTTTTTACGTGAGACCTATGGTAAACCCAGTTTCTCGAGCTTGTATGTCAAGCCCTTTATGGTTGGGGCATCTACCCAGTCCCAATACCTTTGGTTTTGGAATCAGGGGTAAATATTATTTCTGTCCACTGCTAAGATTGTTTTTGTCCCCCATCCCCGGGAATCCCACCTCTGTGGGGTTTTGTGCTCGCAGTGCATGTTTAGAGATGGTGAGTGTCTGAGGCACATGTGGCTATAAATAAGCAGGGATGCATTTATACACCAGGGCCCACAGTGAATTGATAATCTTAGCTTTTATCTACTGTACAGTTCACACTCTTCCATGTCAGCCCCAGCCTTTGCTTCTCTTTATCCAGGTAGCACCTCTGCTGGGTGCATTCTGCATATCCCACTGCGTCTTCCTGTGAAAGAAGAGAGGAGAGAAACAACACTCAGCTCCATATTTCCTGGTGTCTCTGTTTCCTATCCTGGTTCCCCCCACCCCCATTCTGCTTTGTCTACAATGAGTAGATATGAGGGATGGTGCCTATTTTTCCTCTTTACTGAGTGCCCACGGCTTCTCACAGGGGATAGTATTTAGCTGTCCTTAAGTATTTGTGCCATCCATTGTTGGACCATTCTATAGTAATCCTGGTATAGCCACCGCTACTCATCTTGGCTGAAGAACTGGGTTCCTGGGGTAGGGGCTTCCCATATATACAGACCATGGGACAGGAAGGTATCTATTCTTTTTTATTCAAGGGCTACTTGTCTTCCCTGGATTAGTACTTTTCCCACCATATTAACTATCCTGTTGTGATAAAATATCATGAACAAAAATAACTTAGGAAAGAAATGGTTTATTTTGGTCATCATGGTCTAGAAGGCATGGCAACAGTTGGGGAAAGCGTGGTAGCAAGAAAATAGCTGACCACACTTTATGTATATATGTGATTCAGAGAAAAAGATCAGAGAGTGGGGCCAGACTAGCATTCACTAAAGCCCACCTCCAGTGACACACTTCCTCCCAGGGAGGCTCTACCTTCCAAATGTCCCATAATCTTCCCTAACACTATGGCCACCAACCAAAAACCAAGAATTCAAATACATGAGTCTATGGGGCGCCACCACACCATCTACCTATATTCCTAGTGTAAGGAATGTCCTCCCAGAGGGTTTATGTGTTCAGATGAGGTGGGGACACCTGACTGAGACTTTCTGACGTCATGCCCCCACATCCCCACACTGGGCTCACACTTTCTCACACAAAGAAGCTAAGTAAACATGAAGTCACACACTCACTCATGGGCCACAACTTCTCCCACCTTCACCTACACATAGACATGCAAACTTCCTTACTTAAAAAGTCGCACACTCGTTGGGCATTGGTGGCACACGCCTTTAATCCCAGCACTCAGGAGGCAGAGGCAGAGGCAGGCAGATCTCTGTGAGTTCGAGGCCAGCCTGGTCTCCAGAGCGAGTGCCAGGATAGGCTCCAAAGCTACACAGAGAAACCCTGTCTCGAAAAACAAAAACAAACAAACAAACAAAAAAGCAACAAAAAAAGAAGTCACACACTCAAACTCCAAAGCTACACAGAGAAACCCTGTCTCGAAAAACAAAAACAAACAAACAAACAAAAAAAACAACAAAAAAAAGAAGTCACACACTCAAACTCATTAAAGTACACACAGTCTCACTCTGCCCTCTACTTCCTCTACCTTTGCTTCTTTCCATTTATTTATCTCCTGTAGCACAGCCTCTTCTGATACCCTGGAACAGATATGCCCGCCCCCTCTGTACCTGGGGGAATCAGGCATACCTTATTCTCTGGCATTTGGGCTTCAGAATTATAAGACAAGAGTTCCCTTGGTCCTGCCACAGTCTGTGTGATCCTGTTAACAGCAGTCCTGGGAAACTGGGAAGCCCTCTGAGGATGGTGCAAATGCTTATTCTGGATGGTTCTGAGACCCTGGATGTAACCCTGTCTATTCTCATAAGGAGGCAGTGGGGATTTGATCAGAGGAGGTGGCCATTAGGCGGGAGTTCAAAGGGAAATATGACCAGCTATCAGCTACTTGGAAGATGGAGGCAGGTACCAGGAGCTGAGGAATTCGAGTACCAGACATTGGAACTTTCTTCTCTTCTGGGACATCACCTAGGAGTCAGCCTTGCTCACCCTCTTACTTCCAATCACTGGAGCTATCTTCTGGCCTCCCTAAATTCGATACAATAAATGTATGCCTTTGAGTATTTTGTTATAATTAACACAGGAGGCCAACAGAGCCAACACGGGCTACCTATGAGGAAAGGCTAAGGTAAACATTACATGTGTTTTATTACATCTGCCCCCTTTGCTCCACTAAGACACCACACAGAGAAGCATCTCTGTGTAGCATCCCTCACATGTCCCTTTAACTAATACAGTCCCATCTCTCAAATGCAGCCTCCAGTAGCAAGGTCACTATGTCACCCTATCTCAAAACCCTAGATGCTACCCAATGTAAAGAAGTCCTGAAGCTGTCTGTCAAAGCCTTTAGTAACCTGAGCTGCTGGCTCCCATCTAGCTAGCCTTCAGAACTCCCTCAGACAGCCTTTGCTCCACACACAGGACTACTGCTGCTTCTTCCAGAAGTCTTGCAACTTAGGTTCTATGTTACCTTCCCTGGGATGCTTCCTCCCTTCTGCTTGTAAAATGAAGTTTAGCTTCTAGGAAAGATTTTTGCTTTTGTTGTTCTTTTGTTTTGTGTTTTGTTTGCTTGGTTTTTTTGTCTACTGCTGTGCTGTGTACCGAACACAGGGTCTCCCACAATCCAAGAAAGCACTCTACCACTGAGCTACATACCCAGTCTTCTTGTTATTTTATTTTTATTTTGTCATATTTTGAGACAGGTCTCACTAAGTTTCCTAGATATTCCTTGAAGCTACTCTGAATAACTCAGCGCCAATCTTGAACTTGTTTACCTCCTCTGCCTCCCAAGTGGTTGGGGTTACTGGTTTGTGCCACAAGACTTGGCTTCTGGAATGTTTTCTCAATAACTCCAGCCTGTACCAACACCTTCCTCAACCAACAGCCCATTCTAGTTACATTCAGTTTAGTAGACAGCTATTCCTTATGATGATGTCATATGGGTTACTTGTATATTCCCTAGCTAGACTATACATTTTCTAGAGGGTGCCACAGAAGGCTAAAATAGGGTCCGTATTCTGGTTTCATCTCTAATGCCATGCTAAAATACCATAACCTAGAGCAACTTAGTGGAGAAAGGGATAATTTTAGCTCACAGTTCCAGGCTATTGTCCCCCATAACAGGGACGTCACAGTGGTAGGAACTTGAGACAGCTAGTCACATCAGATCCCTAATGAAAAGCAGAGAGAAATAAATGCACAAATACTCATTCACTTGCTCTTGCTCATACTCAGCTTGATCTCTCAACTCTGAAACAGTTTAAGATACCCCATACCACCTAGGGCATTGGTTCTCAACCCGTGGGTTGTAACCCCTAGAGGGGTCACATATCAGATATTTACACTGCAATTCAATTCATAACAGTAGCAAAATTACAGTTATGAAGTAACAACAAAATAATTTCATGGCCAGGGTCACCACACCATGAGGAACTGTATTAAAGGGTCGCAGCATTAGGAAGGTTGAGAACCGCTAACCTAGGGAATGGTGCCAGCCACAGCAGACTTGATCTTCCTGAATTGATTCATCAATTTAATCAAGACAGTCTCCCACAGACACACCCACCAACAAACCCAGTGAGGAACAATCCTTGACTGAGACCATCTTCCCAGGTGACTCTAGATGGTGTCAAATTGACAATAAAGCTAACCACCACAGTCTTTATGCACATAACGATTACAGTTCAGCTGTGAAGATAAAATATCTGAACAGAATAGACGACATCAGACCGATCCGATAAGAAATAAGCAAGTAAACTACCCTGGAGCACAGGATTAGAAGCCAAAAGAATTCAGTTGTGGCCCTGTTTCCATGCCCTGGGGAAGCCCATCTGCCCTGCCAGATCCTTTCCCATCATCTATAACCTTAGACACGATCTGGGTGACCTCTGATATCCCTGCCATCTCCACAGCCTCTGATTCAGAACTGGCATGGGATGGCTCCTGATTGGGGAACACCTTTCTCCTGGGCCCAGGATTCTGCTGGGGCCTGTGTGAGTCACATTTCCCCATAAGCACCATGTGGCAGGATATTACTCAAGCAAACCTAGGTCAAGTACACTTCAGAGCCAGGGAAGCCCTACTTGCTACCAAAGTCTTTGTTGGCATCGAAACCTTGAAAGCAATCCCTGACTTCTGTTG